CAACACTCATCTTATCTACATGTTATTTCTTAGTTGCCCAGCATTCCATCTCATACAACATCGTTAATCTAACAGCCGTTCTATAAACTTTCTTTTTAGTCTAGTGGGTACTCGTTTATTGCACAATATCTCAGACGCCCTCCTCCACTTAAGCCACCCCGCCTTAATTCTATGGACCATATCCGCTCCAATCTCCCTAGCTGTTGTGATAATTGATACTAAATAACGAAAATGTTCACTCTTAGATAGTTTTTGGTTCTCAATCTTCACTTCTCCCCTGCTTTCGTTGTTACTATTACTAAAATTACACTCTATGGGTGTGTTTGATTGGACGGACTGGATAAGGGGGATTAGAATCCATCGGACTTGAGTCCTGGGACTGTGAATCCCCCGGACTATTTGGTTGGAAAGGACTATTTTTAGTGAATCCAACATTTGGTTGGACGGATTGGATAGGATAAATGAACAAATGACTATTTTACCATTTTTCAATTGTTTACTAAGTAATAGCAATATTAAACATATCTTTAATATTTTAATTATTTTTAGTTAGATTAAATAAAAATTTATTTTATTTTATTTTTTACACAATTAAATAAATCTATTTTTTTTAAATTAAATAAATAAAATATCAATAAAATATCAAAAAAAATATATGTTATTTTTTTAGTTAAAACTTTAAATAAATTTGTTTTTAAAAGTAATAATAATTAAACAATGAAATTAAATAAAACATCTATTAAAATTTAAATAATGAAATTAAATAAAATTTAAACAAAATTTTAAAATAAAACATCAATAAAATATTTATAAAAAATTATTTTAAAAAAATTAAATAAATAAAACATCAGTTAAAAGTTAAATAAAATTATTTTATTTTTAAATTGAGACATTTAAATTTTATTGAATTTTACCAAATATATTACATAATTAAATAGTAGAGGGTCAAAATGGTCATTTTACCACCTAACCCCAACAGTAAATAGTCCCTCCAAAATTGTCCCATACCCCCCCGGGCTGCTATAATCCCCCGATAAGGAGTCCAGTCGGACTCCATATCCGACAGACTTAAAAAAAAACAAATGATAGACTATGCATTCTTTCGGATAAGCAATCCGAATAGTGAATAACTCCCTTAATCTCCCAATCAAAAACACCCTTAAGGAAATAACCAACTCCTAATGTTATTGAACACAAGTAAATTATCTTATTTGAACTATGAATAAAGCAGATCATCAAGAGAAGTTGAATAATGGAGAGAGAGAGAGAGGGTTGTTGTAATTTCTTGATGGCAGTGTTTTGTGGGTATACTGTTAAAGAAAGAAAGAAAGAAAGAAGGGAAAATGACAGGAGCTAAGATCACATGTCACTGTCATAGTGATTTCAGGGAGGAGGAGGAGAGGGTATACCTGTGTGTCTCCTTGTGTTCTGTGGTTTGTTTTTGTTTGGTTGATGGGACTATTCCTAGTTTGCCAAACATGGAAACTAATCTATTTTCTCACTTGTTTTCCACGACTTTCTTTGCTCGTATAACAACGACTTTCCCAATGCCACACCCTCTGACTTTTCGTTTTTTCTTTTCAAATTTTTTTCTACACAACACACCATGAATTGAATTGATCAGATCAGATTTTCTTTTTCATGCATGTCCACGAGATTCATGTCTTTGAGATCATTAACAGATTTGGACATAAGCATTCGATCTATCTTCACCCTCTCTTCTTCTCTACTTTTGGAAACTTTGATTAGACTTGTCTCTGCATGCTCTCTCTCTCCCTCTCCCTCTCCCTCTCGGATTCTTTACTAATGTGTATCTATTAAAAATACAGAGGAGGTATGTATACAGAATTTGTGCACACAGAAAAATATTTAAAAAGAAAATTATTGTACAGTTCAAGTTTAATTCATGTATTGTGGAGTCTATATGTAAAATGATTTTCAGTCATATAATGATTTTCTTGATATATTTTTTGTGGATACGTAACATTGTTGTTCAAATATGTCATTAAAAAGAAAACACTAAAAATAGTCTTTAGGGAAGCTGTTAGTATTGAAAATTCTACAAAAAAACTGTATTGAAATTTTTGAAGTGTTTAAAAAAAGTGAAAGTGTTTTGACATATGTAAAAAATGTATTACAATTATAAATATTTTAATAGTTTGTGTTTATTATTGACCGTCTTTAAAGTTGTCATTAGCATAACCTAAAAAATAGAGTTATTTCACTTTTAAAATATGATATGATAGAATTTTTGAATAATCTACTCAATGGTTTATTTTTACAGAAGAAAAAGTTATCTAATTGTGTAGCTACTGTTATTCGATTTACTTGATTTTTTGTATGAATAATCTACTCACAAATTTTACAAAATGAATAGTTCAAATCATCGAGATGAGCTTTTAGTGGGCCTACAATGGGTGAACTTCACTGTATATATTCATATAGGCATAAATCTCTTATG